TTCTTTCTTTCTTTCTTTCTTTCTTTCTTTCTTTCTTTCTTTCTTTCATTATGTAAACAGTATTCTGCCTGCATGTATGCCTACATGCCAGAAGAGGGCACCACATATCATTATATATGGTTATGATCCACCATATGGTTGCTGAAAATTGTTCTTTGGAAGAACAGCCAAGTGCTCTTAATCTCTGAGCAATCTCTCCAAACTATCTTACAGGTTCTTATCATTTCATTCCCCTGTCCTGAAGTCCATTTTTCAATAGTAATAATTATTATTAATAATATTTTAATTGTTATTTATACTAATTATAGTTATTATAATCAATTATTTATGGTTATAAGAATTTTTAATTACTGAGTAGTATTCCATTGGTTAAGAGTACCACAATTTCTGTATCCATTCCTCCATTGATGGACATCTAGGTTGTTTCCAGGTTCTGGCTATTACGAATAAAGCTGCTACAAACATGGTTGAGTAAATGTCCTTATTGTGTACTTGAACATCTTTTGGATATATGCCTAGGAGTGGTATAGCTGGATCTTGATGAAGCACTATTCCTAGTTGTCTGAGAAGGCGCCAGATTGATTTCCAAAGTGGTTGTACAAGTTTACATTCCCACCAGCAATGGAGGAGGGTTCCCCTTTCTCCACAACATCTCCAGCATGTGTTATCACTTGAGTTTTTTATCTTAGCCATTCTGATGAGTGTGAAATCTCAGGGTCATTTTGATTTGCATCTCTCTGATGGCTAAAGATGTTGAGCATCTCTTTAAGTGTTTCTCTGCCATTCTATATTCCTCTACAGAGAATTCTCTGTTTAGCTCTATATCCCATTTTTTAATTGGATTACTTGATTTATTGCTTTTTAACTTCTTTAGTTCATTATATATTCTCAGACATGTTTGGAGCAGCTTTATTCTGGAAACAACCCAGATGTCCATCAATGGAGGAATGGATACAGAAATTGTGGTACTTTTACACAATGGAATACTACTCAGCAATTAAAAACAAGGAAATCATGAGATTTGCAGGCAAATGGTGGGAACTAGAAAAGATCATCCTAAGTGAGGTATCCCAGAAGCAGAAAGACACACGCGGTATATACTCACTTATAAGTGAGTACTAGACCTATAAGATAGGATAAACATACTAAAATCTGTACACCTAAAGAAGATAAACAAGAAAGAGGACCTGGGGTAAGATGATCAACCCTCACTTAGAAAGACAAATGGGATGGACATTGGAAGTAGGAAAAAACAAGTAACAGGACAGGAGCCTACCACAGAGGGGCTCTGAAAGACTCTACCTAGCAGTGTATCAAAGCAGATGCTGAGACTCATAACCAAACCTTCGGCAGAGTGCAGGGAATCATATGAAAGAACAGGGAGTTAGTAGGACCTGGAGAGGACAGGAGCTCCACAAGGACCAAATATATCTAGGCACAGGGGTCTTTTATGAGACTGTATTTCCAACCAAGGACCAGGTATGGATATAACCTAGAACCTCTGCTCGGATGTAGCCCATGGTAGCTCCATATCCAAGTGGGTACCCTAGTAAGGGGAACAGGGACTATTTCTGACATGAACTCAATGTCAGGCTCTTGGATTCCCCCTCCCCAAGAGGGAGGAGCAGCCTTGCTAGCTGGACATTGCAGCCAGTACTGAAGAAACCTGATAAGCTAGGGTCAGATTG